TTACAATAGACATATTGGTGTTTTATAGCTAGTTAGGTTGTAATTCCAATGCGTTCCACCACATTTAAAGTTAATAAGGCATTTCTTTATTACAATTAACCAAGGATTATATATATGCCTGGAAATTACAATTATGTATTATTGCCTAAGCAATGACTGAAAATTATATGTAAGATTAATAGAGGGAAAAAATAACTCCAATAAATTGGATTAAACTACCATACCGACCACCCTATTAATATAAATAGGTTGAATAATCATGTCAATTATACCTATCCATTTGAATGGTTCAAAGATTAAGAGTTCAAGCCACGCAAAGAACATGGTGTGACTAATGAGATAGATATTGCTTTAACCTCCGATCCGAAAAAAAAAAAAAAAAAAAAACTTCATTTATCTTTTTGAAAAATTAATTAAATACAATATATACCCAAACATGCCTACAATCAATCAAAAAAAAAAAAAATCCATCAAAAAAAATTTCTTTCAAACATTAATCCCCATCTTTCTTCCTCTCTCTTTCTTGCATGCATTCTCATCTGAATCCATGCACGCATGGCCTTAAACCTCTTCATGTCCCTGCTATTGAAATAACAGCTTTTCTAACAGGTATAGGGTGCAAATAGTTCACAAGCCATAGATTCCGTTCCCGGTGGTACAGATAGGGCAGATTTCTGAGGCTCCAATAACAAGGGTTACACCCATACCTCATCGAAAACGCCCAAAAGAAGCCATGTTTGTCATCATTGTAATACAAGTAGCACCACCTCAACGGGAAAACTATTTGTCGGAATGTCCAACTGATTTTCTCCCCTTTACGGAGTAAATGGAAGGACTGGTCATGGTCTTCGAATCTGCAAATGTATTGCACGTCAGCCCCAGAGTCGTTGGTTATAATCACCTCCGCCATTGGGAATATCCCGCCCACGCCCACAGTTAGGGAAGGCATGGACAACAGAGAAAGCAAGACTGCCACCATCAATATGTTTTTATTACTCGTCATGGTGACTCCGGTGGCGGCCGCTTAAAGGATGTACAATTCACGGTGACAGTAGCCGCCAAGGTGGTGGAGGTGGTGGTGAAAGAAATTGGTGATATTGTTTTTTATTTTCTCGCATTTTATGTATAGTGAATCTGAAACAAATTTCGGTTTGATAGGCTGTAAAGTACTAAAATTATTGGTCATTGGAATGGTAGGATGTCCTCTTATCGTTAACACTTCTATTTTTGGGTTGTTCGTTTATTACTTCTGTTGCAATGAAACTTACCAAAAATATTGGTTTTTTAAACATTAGCTTCATCAATGGATGTCAGTTAATCAGTTATAGGCTAAACATAGTCCCCATCATTAGCAATTAGCAATTTAGCATATGCATCAAGTAAATATTCGTATAAATAAACTTTTGCTGTAATGATAGGCTCATCTTATCTCCATTTTCATAATTTAAAATAATTTTTATGATTTTTAAAATTTTGACCGGCACATCTTAGACACATCTCAAACACTTACCTGACATATCTCCACGTGTTCAATGCATTCTAGACACTCAGCCAACACATTTCATAGGTACCTTTGCATTGTAATGAACAAAAACACACATATAATGACAAGATAAAAGAGTGATTAATTTAATATGTGATATAAAAAAATTCTTTGGCTTCTTTATATATTCCACTAAATTAATAAAACTCTATAATTTTTATTTTTTATTTTTTAAGTAAGATTTCAATAAAGAGAGATAAAAGGAGAGTGCACCCCAATAACAAATGGTCTATAAAACTCTATAATTCTTTAATCAGTAGATATATAAATCAAAATTAACATGGATAATGGACATTTATACAAAGTGACTCTTCTAACACAACACTTCATCGAACTTTTCTGACCACATTAAAATAACTTTTATTATATTTAAAAACTTGATAAACACATTTTTGACACATATTCAACACATTTCAGATACATTTTAGACACATGTTCAGCTCGTTCTAGACACTAAATCAACACTTCATACCTATGTCTTAAATAAAATAAACACGACACTGTAATGAACAAAAATATACATATAATGACAAATCTTATAAGATACCAAAAAAAAAAATTCATTATTTGGTTTCTTTATGTATTCAACTATTATAAAAATTATAAATTAATAATACTCTATATTTTTTATTTTTTATGTAAGATTTTGATAAAGAGCGCTAAAAGGGCAGCCCAAGACTAAGACCAAGATGGTGAATAAAGCTCTAAAAATCTCGGTGTTTGGTTGTCCAAAAGCCAAAAAGAATATTTTACTTGGTAAAATCCTTTATAGGATTCTTTTTAAAACATCTTACCGATAAAATGTTGGTAAAATATTTTTCACATCCCTATGCAATCGTCATTCATTTTTCATACCCCTACCCGATCATCATTCGTTGATCGACGCTAAATAAATTCAATTTCTGTCAAAAGCTATCCAGAATTTTTTTTCGAGACTTGTTTATCAAACACCGAGGAAAAAAAAAAAAAAAACATATATATTTTACCTGAAAAGGTTTAACGGAGAGCCTAAATAAAATAGGGAGTAAGCAAAGTACATAGCGAGAGAATATTGTTTATCAAATTTCGGGGATCCTTCACGTATTGAACCACATTTTATCTTCCAAGAAACTAAAAATTAGGGACTATCATCAACAACATATATCAATGATGATACATATAGTTCTCATTTTGTATAAATACTTTGTATGTGTAAAATAGAAAGCTATAACACCTCTAGTTTTACAGTATCCCCAAATAAGTTGTCACATAAAAACATACTCTGTATCTCAGCATTCTAAAAGTACTCCATGTCCCTCCTGGTGAGTGGTTAATTCATAGGAGCTTTCGTAACAGGTACAGGCTGCAAATAGTTCACAAGCCATAGTTTCCGATCTCGATGGTACAGATAGGGCAGATTTCTGAGGCTCCAATAGCAAGGGTTGCACCCATACCTCATCGAAAACGCCCAAAAGAAGCCGTGCTTGTTATCATTGTAATACAAGTAGCACCACCTTAACGGAAAAATTATTTGTCGGAATTTCCACCGGATATTCTCCCCTTTCCGGAGCAGATGGAAGGACTGGTCATGGTTTTCGAACCTGCACATGTATTGCACGTCATCCCCGGAGTCATTAGTTATAATCACCTCCGCCATTGGGAATATCTCGCTGCCAATGCCCAGAGCTGGGGAAGGCATGGACAACAGAGAAAGCAACATTGCCACCATTAATAAGTTTTTATTACTTGTCATGGTGACTCCGGTGGTGGAGACCGCTTAGAGGGTGTAGAATTCACGGTGACAGTAACCGCAGTAGTGGTGGCGTGAAAGAAGTTGGTGACATTGTTTTTTCTCTCATTGTATTTTGTATAGTGAATCAGAAACAAATTTCGTTTTACAAGGCTGTAAAGTACTAAAATTCTTTCGTCATTGGAATGGATGTCGTTAAAACTTCTATTTTTTGGTTATTTGTTAACACTTAGTTACAATGAAAACTTCAGCTAGTGCACATCGTATAAAAATGTATAAAAAAAAAAAAACCAGCAATGGTCCATCTAAATGTCAGCAATTATTATATGTATATATAGTTAATTAGTTATAGGCTAAACATGCATAGTCTAATGAAATATATGCATCAAGTACTTCATATAATTAAATAGACTTTTGTTGTAATGATCCAAACAATAAATATAATATGCTCAAGTAATCGAATATAAAAACAATCTTGGTAACCGTCAAATATAGGGGGAAATGGAACATGTGAAGAAAAATATGGAAACAAACTTTCTTACAATTGCTATTTTCCTCTCTTTTTCTTTCTATTTACAATTGAATAAGGGAGTAGTTTTTTTCCTTCTTATCTTTACATTTACTTTTCCATCACTAATATAAACAATGTATAATACACTAAGAAGCATGGACACTTCCCAACTCTGACACTTCAGGACTCTTTTGACCACATCATGACTATGTTTATAATTTTAATTTTTTATTATTATTATTTTAAAAAACTTAGCCAATACATCAACACATGTCTATCACATCTCCGATCAGACACTTGTCATGCCACTTCTCGTACAGTTGTGTCAACACAATCATCACATCTCATACCATATAAAAGAAACACACACTTTAATGTATGGGCGACATTTAATCCGCCAATTTGCGAGTTCGATCGAATCAGATTGGATTATTACGGTTCGGATCGGATTTAATTACAGATCAGATCGAATTTTTATCAACCCTAGTTCATAATTCGATTTATGAATTACGGATATATATATATATATATATATATATATATATTCTAAAAATGCAGTAGTTAATAATCTTTTAAATTAAAATCAATTAATCATCATTTAAATATATGAATTAATGTTGAGAAAAAAATAATAATAATAAAAAAATTAATGTTGATAAATTAAAATTTTATAAATAACAATATTAAACTATTAGAAAAAATCTATCCAATCCAATATGTTACTATACGAATCCGATCCATTATTCTGACGGATTGACCAGATCAGATTAGGATTGATACCCAATTCGATCCATGACCACTCCTACATTAATTAACAAAAACAGACATATAAGTGATTTCACATATGATATAAAAAAAATTATTTGGTTTCTTTATATACTCGACTAGTATAACAATTATAAATTAATAAAACTCTCATTTTTATTTCTTATTTCTTAAGTAAGATTAACAAAGAGCCCTCAGAATGCAGTCCAAGATCAATAAAGCTCTATAATTGTCTTATTCAAAAAATATATAAATCACAATTAGTATTTAACTATTTATATTAATCATGTCGTCTGTGTACTACGTTTTTAGATGTGTCAAACATACCCTTGTCTTATAGACGCATCCCACATGCAAAGTTGGACATCAAATTAACCCAAATTGGCATTTCCACAGAACACAGAGTACTACAGAAGCAACTAAAATCAGCCAACAATGTTGAAACACAGATATACACCAAAACATAAGTTCATTAAAGCCAATACAATTTAAGTAAAATTTGCTGTAAAACAACATAAAAGTTAGTAATACATATCATAGGGAAGGTAAAACTTGAAATTCTTGTAAAGCCTCTATCAAAATTCCCTTGAAATCTTAAAAATAAATTAAAAAAAAAAAAAAAAAAGATGTTACAACCTACATACTGATCACCAGGACAAGAATAAAAAGAGCCTGTTCTCTCATAACTTTAACCATATATATAATAAATATAGTAAAAAACAAGAACGAGACGATCATAGCAGGCCTAACTGCCACTTACCCAGGCTTAGCCCAGCCCTGCATCTAACTCTATTTTTTCTCTACTCCATTTCCCTTGATCCTTTATTACACTACCCCTCCTTCCATTACTACATCTTTTCTTTTTTCTCTTTTTTTTGCTGAACTTTATTTTCCTCTCTTTTCTTTTTTCTTATAAATACGAATAACAGGAAATAAAACCACAGACACAAACCAACCCACCCCACCCAAAGTAATTGCCATTCAATTCCCACAAGACTGAAGGAAATCTTCACTTATAGATGGTGGCCCGTGAACATACCAAGGAAGGAGTAAGGTTTCTTGCCCTCGAACGGTTTAGCACAAAGAAGTCGTCCCCTAGTTTCACCTACGGCAGAAAAAAAGGAAATCCGGGTGATAGACCTGAAGTAGTTTCAGCCAATCGTCAGCAGCCTGCAAGAGGGAGTTTGATAATTGGCAATCACAACCTCCTTGTGGGGTCCACAAGGATGCTTTGAACTTGTATGAAGCTAGACCAAAGACTGGTAATGAAATATTAGGGACACCGTCCATCTCACTATGACACGTCACAACAGGAAGCTGGGCACCTTGAGTACCTGCAAGAAGTCAGATTAAAATCACAAAGATGCCAACGGTAAACAAATTGCAAAACTAAGGTAGGAGCACATATTTCTAGTCAGATACAACACCCACACAAGCCAGTGTCAATCTACAGGAACAGCTAAGCTCCATAAATGAGTAGGGAAAGCATTGTGGTAAAAAGAGAATAATAAAAAGTTCAAGGCATGACCAGCATTCGGAAAGAATTTGAATGCTGGTTGGAGACTGGAAAAAAAATCAGGAATGAGTGTGTGGAAAATCATTGTATACTTAGAGGTGTGAATTTCACGAGTAACTCAGGCATCGATGGTAAATATCAATATATTCATAAAATAATTTGTGAATGGTAAGTGATGAAAACAGCTATTTATGCTAGATGAAAGGAGCCAGGACCTTGCAGATAGCTCAAACCTATCATCCTACTGGAAACTTTTCATTTTCTATTTGATTTATTTATTGGGGGAGATCTATTGGAAACGTTACTTCCAAGAAACAATTGAGAGAGAGAAGACACAGGTCCCAGATGTAATATATTCGTCAATAACATAAGTCAATTGAAATAAGCACTTGTTCTTCTAACGCTTGAACACAAAATATTAACTAGCACAAGGGCACGTGCAGATAGAAGAGAGTAAAGGGAAATTCTAACACACAATCTAACACTTGGACGTCGAATCAATAAAAATGAAGAGAAATTCTTCAGTTACCTGACATGGGTGTATGAAGAGAATGGAAGGTCAGAAAGCAAGCATCCAAATCCTTTAGAGTTGGTCCCGTTGGTATCCGGTATATTGGATACCTACAAAATTTCCATTAAAACCAGTAAGTCCCATATCGATGTTTGTAGGGTGAATTGTGCATCTATATATACTAAAAATATATGCATGGAATCAATTGTCATACCAGGCCACAGAAATCCAACTGGTACATAATAAATCGCAACTTCTTAATGTTTTGAGCTCAGGAAAACGGTGGGCAAGATCAGATATCTGGAACAATTTATTTAAAAAATAAAAAGGGAATAAGAAACAAAGAAAAAAGAGGAAGCACTAGAGCAAAAAGAATCCAAATAATTTTACTTAGTTAAAAAGGGAAGAAAAGACTAGCCTTATCAGCTAGAGGTTCCCTGCTGAAAGGTGGGTCCCGTTCAAGGTACTCAAACAGCAGTTGGCCTCGAGGATTCCTAGATTCACCCTCATCACTTGAGGAGCCTCCTTGAAGTGCAACATGCTGGTCTCTCAAAGACATTCTATCCATTCTAAGAGGAATTTCGTTCGTTAGGTTGTATTGATTCTGTTGTTTGCTTGAGTAATTCAAGAAGCCTCTTTCATGCTCACAATCACTACTTCCATCACTACTCGAATCCCTGAAATAGTCACTATCACTGTCCTCGCCGAGTCGCCTATTACTGAAGAAACATACAACAGAAAAATTGTTAGCAAACCAACTAAATCCATCCATTTAAGTGACAATCAACCAGAAGCAAACAATACTATCAGATTTGGGAAGTGGAATTCTAATTTGAGACACAAGGAAGAGGAACCCAAAAAGAGAAACATTGGCATAGCTGAGAAGGGATAGAGAGAGTTAAAGTACAAATGTATTTATCTATGAAAGAAAGAATATAAATGCAGAAACAAATGAAATTAAAACAGCATGGGCTATAAGAATATAACAGTTCAAGAAAAAAGAAAATCAATAAATGAACTATAGAGCCAATTATGAGTTAGTTTGCTTTCCAAGATAATATCTAGGAAACAAAGGCTGCCTTCAAATAAAGAAACAGTAACTCCTCACTGAGACTTAATAGTTTTCATGGAATTGTTGAGTTGTTAACTCCCCACTTCTATCATCAAATCAATAAAAAGGTTATAGGAACCAACTCGTTCTTAATTTGTAAACAAATTATACCTCCAAATTATGGCTTTTAAGAGTCATTAAGATCACTGACAAGATTGCCGCATATAAGTCTAGCGACGGCTACTTATTGACTAATCAGCAGGTTATGCCTCTGCCAAGCCCACAACTCCTAGCTACCCACATCGCAACCAAAGGTTAAATTTCAACCTTCACAGATCCTCCTAGATCTCCCCATTGAGTCACACCAGATGTGGGTGTTTAAGAAACAGCGCCATAGACATGACAACTCCCTACAATCTAGGTACGAGGACACAACTGAACACATTCTAAGAACTATTATTTATAATTTTAAATGTAGATAGATATATAAATATATCCATGCTCAGTTATATAAGATAAACAAGTTATTAATGAATGCCAAGAAAAGTAATCTTCATCATTAGATCTGCTTTATAAAAAGAAGTCCCAGTACTAATGCAACATGCAAATCCTCATCTAAAAATTGGATTTATTAAAATCCAAGTTGAAGTATAATATACGAATTGTGGATCCAGTTGAAGATGACCCGTGAAATAACCATCAAATAATATAATGAATTCACTAACCTAGTTGTGAGAACATCAAAAAACAAGTATATATATACATGGACAAAGCATCCGAATGTAAATGAGACATACATTTAATAACAAAAACACGTGGGAAAGATTACCCAAAAGAAAGGCATAAACTTCACTAGGAAAAAGTTAATCCATACAAATGCTTAATTAGATTGGGTCATAGCCCAACCACCGAAAGCACATTCAATAATTACCAACGGCAACAAGAAGGCTGACAACAGAATAGTTTTGCATTTTCACAGAGTTTCTCATGTTAGATTCTGTTCTAATGGAAGAAAAAAAATCCAACCAGGGTTTCACATGTTAGTTTCTGTTCCAGTGGACAAAGATCCACAACCAGAGTTTCAAATGTTAGTTTCTGTTCCAGTGGAAGAAAATCCACAACCACAGTTTCAAATGTTAGTTTCAGCGGACGAACTAATCTACAATTACTAAGGGCAAACTCTACATCATGATTTAATTAGCAACCTGATACATTATGAGGAAGGATGACAATATCATATATTGATCTCTGCTGGAGCCTAATTTCCTTAAGTCTTAGTTCAGATAGAAAGAAAGTAGTGGAAAGTGAAAAAATGGAATTTTTTTAAATATTATTTTAAAAATATTTTAGGAGTTTGGATAGCAGGAAAAATTTTCGAAGGAAAATAATTTTCTCAAAAAATTTCCTACAAAAAAACACAGAAATATTTTACTTTCTAAGGAAACTATGTTTGAACTTAAATTATGCCCTTTCTTTTTATCTCTCAAAAATAAAATAAATTCATGCCATAATATTTCAAATGAGTGGTATAATGGTCCGCATTTCTCAATGTCTTAGAAAATTATTATTTAGGTTTTGACAATTAATTTTATTTTTTAAAAATGATCAATAAAAGGTTGATTTGAAACAAAGCCATTTAAAATATAAATAAGAACACTGCAGCAAACAATGATATTTTCTTGTAACTTTCCTACTATCAAAACCATTAAACAGAATTATTTTTCAACTTTCTTACAAAAATTCATTCTAACCAAATACATGCTGGAAAGGTAGTTTTCCTTTCTTTCACTTCACTTTCTAGTACTTTCATTTTCCACTAAATTCATTCTAACCAAATACATGCTGGAAAGGTAGTTTTCCTTTCTTTCACTTCACTTTCTAGTACTTTCATTTTCCACTAAATTTTTCCGTTTAACAACACGAAACCTAAGTGAAGCAAAGGAAAACTTCTAGAAGGGTTCACAAACCCCCTAATGTTCTTAAAAGAATATAGTAAGCAAAGGTTATACATTAATAATCAGAAGTCCTCGTACAAAGCAATTATTACTTGCTTTTAAAAGAAAATAAACAATAGAATCCCAACAAATTATATACAACTATAGTTACAACCATATATCACAATTTAAGTAAAGATTTAATGATTGTCATCATTCTTCCTTGGATCGGCCACAGGAATTATCTTTTTCGGTTCTTTTCAATTATAAACCTTCTCTCCTATATTTCGAATGATTTAATCCCATATTAAATTTGGTTGTCGTCTTTGGCTCCTCCCTTCTAAGCAAATTAGTCTCCCTCTTCTTACCAGAGCATCCATAGATCTTTCTTCTTTAGATATGTTCATACCACCTACTTATCAAAAAAAAAAAAGATATGTTCATACCACCTAAGTCTATTTTCTCTTATCATTAGCATGTGCAACTCCTAATTCCTCCATCACATTTTGATTGGTAACCATATCTCTTATAGTCGCCCCTATCATCCACAGTATTAACATACTCATTTCCGGTACATCAATTTGTTGTCCATGTTTTTCTTTTAAAGCCCAACACTCTAAATCGTATAAAATCATTGGCCTAATAATTGTTTTCCTTTTAATTTTTTTGTAATTCTTTTATCGCATAAAATTCACTAGCCTATCTCCATTTTGTCCAACCTGCTCCAGTTCTACTAATTATATTACCATCTATCTTACCATCTTTTGTAATATTGGCTCTAAGTAGCAAAAATGGTCATTTTGACTAATCTTTTGCCTTTCAAGTGTGATAATTCTATTACCAATATCCAACTCTTTACTAAATTTACATTTCCCATATTCAGTTATAGTCCTACTAATTTTTAAACCTTTTGATTATAACGTGTTTCTCCAAAAAAACATAGAATGATATAAACATAAAAGGCGCAATAATAAAAAATTCTGTGATGCATTGCACTACTGGAAGAGTACTGATGAACAATGATTCCTACAGTAACACTACTTAAAATCAATATCTTTATCACAAGGCTTTAAAAGCATTGCCAACCATGATTATACAAAGTGCTAAAGATCATATAAGCAGTTTGACTGGGTTGTCATAGACTTTAAGATTAGACATAATTTTCACGCCATCTGATTAACTGATTCTGGTAGCTACAGCAAGTAAAACATCCTCCACCATTTGCAATATTTTAAGCCAATTGATTGGCTAGGCCACATGGCTATTAAAATTGGCAAATTGCCAACATTAAATTATATTGTCATAGCTCTAAGCTTCTAACTTCTCACATTTACTATATTGGCCAATTTCATGTCAATCATAAGAGGCCCTTGGCTTGCAGGGCAAGTCCATATATGGACATGAAACTTCTCAAAATTAAAAACAAGCCAACTTGAGGCGGATATAACAAGCCTCAAGCACAACTCAATACAATAAATGAGCTCATAGTTTTCATTGGTACTCATTTTTTTCCCTTAATAAACGAACATAAGCTAACCCCATATGTCTATGTATAATACGATTAATTGCAGCCCGATGCACTACACCATCAAAGAAAGAATGAATGAATGAAACAAAATAAATGTATCTAATTAATGCACACACATTTTAGATAATAGGAGAGTATAACCAATTAGTGGTGGAAGTGGAAAATTTCAACAGTTGTCATGGTTACATCATCTAAATCACAAGCTAAAGTGAGCATCTGATGGTTGGTTCAGAATGCAGCAGCTTTGTGCCTTTTTGATGCTTGTGCAAGAAGAGGAATAGGAGTTCATATGATGGGGACCAGTTGCCAAGATAAAGATTGAAGCTAGAAAGCAAAGACACACATACGGGACACATGTACGAGTACGACACGATATGGACACGGTGATACCGCAAATGTATAAAATAAATAAAAAATAGGACATGGGTCCAACATGCATCAAAAAAATAATAATATAATATATTGTATTATATTTTTCTATCATTTTATCCATATAATCATGAATATAGTCACTAATTTGGAGCTTAGAGCTATATGTTTGTTATTTTGGTCTTCTTAAATTTTATATTATTTTTCTAATTAACCCATAATATATTTAAATTGCATAGAATCCCATTCTTCCAAAAATAATAAGTATAATAATAATGATTACAAAATCACCCTCCGGATCCTAAAAGTGTCCAAAACCTATACTTGCCACGGCTGTGTCCTATCCTAGCCATGTTCAAACAGAAAATAAAATATTCAATTTCCATGATACTTTTGTTGTTTGTTGTTTTATGTACTGTTATGAATCCATGTCACTCTTTAGCTCAATACTTGCTAATCAAATATAAGAAGAAAAATAAGTTGTCCAATCAAACTAGCACAAAAAACAACATAAAAATAAGCTCATCAAGTGATTCGAACTAACAACAAAACCTTAAAAAACAATAATCACGTAAATTAACAAATTGAATAACAAACAATTCCAAAAGCTAAAACATTATTAATGCTTCCTGGTCACGTGATATAGACTTTGACCAGGCCAAATAGTCCTAAAGGAGCCTAATGACCACTAGCAAACCCAAACCATAACCAATAATATGACGAACAAGGAGTCTGTTGATGCAATGGTTTTAAATTGTAATATTAGATTATGTAAAGGTAATTCTCGCAGTGTAACCTTGCCAGTAGAACCGGTCAAGGCGTAATGGGTATCAGGTAAACCGTAGCCATAACTGATTTTCTTAATTACTAGAAATTCCCTTAAAGCTCAATCATATGCAAGTTGTGATACCAATTTCTCACATTTGAATAATTCTGTTCTTTTATTGGCAATGTTATGACACCTAGGTATATTTACTTGGATTTATAATTTTTTTTTTTAATTTACTGGGATTTATATTGTTTCTAGATATAATAGGACAATCTGTGATGAATATTACACTAACTGTTATAATTAAATAATAAAATTTATTTCTATTTAAATCTCAACTGTATGAGCTCCAAAACATCCGACGGATTCACCATTACAAAATTCAATTCTCATTATATATCATGCAAGGGACTACCATTAAATGAATATTAATTCTCCAAAAATATCCTGTGGGAACTACCATTGAGCTTATACTACGCCACCCACAAACTCACTTGTGTCTGCACCTTTCTCAGGAAGGTCACTCAATGTCCCAACCATGACTCAACCTTCATCTTCTCACCTGAGAAGCTTAGTTGAACTCAAAACCTTCCATTCTTCTTTCTAATATCTTCAAATCAGCCAAATTCTCTCCCTACTCTTTCCAAACCTCAAATACACCATATCATAAAGCATAGATTTCTTCTCAACGACAGTAACTTCTTCAAATACAGTCTACATCCCATATCCAAAGTAGAGAGAAGACAAAGGAACCAATAGCAAATGAAATCAATGAAGATGAAGAATACAGAAGAAATAAGAATCGACCTGTGACAGTAAGCCTCTAATCTTCCGGTAGGTAGCGAGTTTTATCTCCTCTTTATCCTTTTTAATTTAGTACAAAATTGAGGCCTCCTGTATGGGTAACGGACTTAGGTAGTTCGAATTTTTTCCGATTTAGCCATAACGAAAAAATGTACCACAGCAGTCATTACAGACATTCCATTTTCTGTGAAGTCCATTATGGATGTTGCATAATGGCATTACCATTTCAAATTTGCTCTCCGGTTAACCCGCGTATAACTGTAACAGCAGGGCCCCTATCTGTTATGCACTACGTAACAGCCGATTTTTCAACAGAAGACTTGATGCAAGCTCTAAAATTGAAAGCACAATCATTACCCAAAGCAAAAAAGGAGTCCAAGTGAGGCCACCAATTTAAATAGCATAATCATTATCCAGCGCCAGCGGTCTGGTAATTACTCTCACAAACATTAAAGAGGGAGGTTCATTTTGATAGCTTTTTATGCCTCAAAAATTAAGGGTGGAAATGTTAGGCAAGTATAGTAGGAAGCTAAGTCTTGGGGTCACCGCTGCCAAGCTCCATCCACGGAGATACGAGCTGGGAGTGGAATCGCAACAAATTCGCAAACTCAATTTTTAGAGTGAGCGAATTCAATTTTAGAATTTGTGTTTTGCCCCCAATCCTTGTTTGTGCGCATTTTGTCTTGGCCAATAATGACTAACTAAGGGTAAGTGGGTAACTGCCACTGTACCACTATTTGTTTGTGATATAAATAACACAATAAAAAAATATAACTACTATGTCATAATTTTAATTAATAAAATATGATAAATAATTATCTCATTAGTTTTAAAAATAGGCTTATATTAAAAAAAGTTAACAAAAAATAGTATTTGATAAATAAAAGTGACAATGAATTAAGTGGAATAAGTACATATCACCAAATGTACAGACGCTCTAAGGGCGCTCCTGCTCAACAAATTTTGGACTTTAAGCTTTCACGCTCACTCTTCCACTTTATGTTATATAGTTAGGAAGGCCATCTACGCAAGAAAAAAAAAAAAACCTCCAGGAAGCTTGTGTGAGGGCGCAAAGAGGATTCCTCAATTGAAGTGGCTCAGATTTCATTGACTGCTGATAGTACCCATTTTTAAAAATGTAGCTCTTAAATACAACAATTTGAAATTTGATCAATTGACAAGTAGAGAAGCTGGAATATCGCTATTTGATTTTGAATATGTGAAAAGGAGGGCAAAGTCAATAACTTATCTTCTTCTCTGCTAAAATCTTCTTGGTGGTGATATTAATTCTTTATGTTTTCACCTTTCAAGGTACAACAGGTGTCACTTAATTTGGCAGAGAGTGATCCTAAGTTAGCGGCTTACTGAATTGAAAGGTAGGTCTCTTGAATGTCTTGGAAAATGGAAAAGGAAACACACCTTTACGACAAAATATGCATAAATTCTCATTTGCTAGAATATAAACATAAACAAAAGAATCACAAACAGCCAAATTTATAGCGTGTATACCACAACTTGGCTGTAATAGAGATCCAAAATGTTACACAAGCACAAAACTAAACGTAAGATGAAAAAGAAATAACTTTTGCACCACAAACAAAAAAATCACATTCACCTAGAACTGCAAAGAATGGGTATCAACAGCATATTTATAGTGATTGTATACCATATGCATCAGTTGCATTGCCAATAAAATATTGTTCAAGATGTTAAATTTAGAAGAAGTACAACTTTATACCAGCAATATGAATACCTCGATTTCATTGAACTCTTCGCAGAGTTGCCGTATATCTGGATTCCAGATAAATAAGGGACATAATACTGAACCACACAATCGCTGTCATTCAAAATCAATGGTACTCCAGCACCATAGGCACTCCACTCCTTAAATGATTCCCACAAATCGCCAAGCACAAAGTAAGGTTGAAATTCAACATCACAAGTCCTCAATCCCCTTAAAGTTCTCTGTCATCACATTCAATTCACAATAAATTATAAAAATATATTAAATGAAATATGCTTGAATTATAACTTAGTACTGATTACAGAACTCAGAGTAACAAAATTTGATCCACCTTAGAGAGATACTGAGCACAAACAGAAGGCGTGACCGATTCCAAAAACCGATCGAGATTACACAAAGGTGGCACTACTGGCTCCACTGCAGGAACAGAGACCGACTTCGGAGGTTCTTCGGATCCTGACTGATTCTCTAGCTCCCTCTTCGCCGGCGGCGAAACCAAAGGCTTCTCCTTTATCGAAGGAGATTGGCTGACCGTCACATCGCTCTGAGCTCTCCGAAGATGATCACGATTTTGCTGGTTATGATGATTTCTCCGAACTTTGTAAAATCGATCCTCTCCGCGACTTCGCCCAAACTGCAATCCAGGCAACATTTCCAAAATCCCGAATTTTTTTATTAAAAAAAAAAAAAAAAAAAACCCACAAAAACCCTAATTCAACTTCTATAAACCCTATAGACGATTGTAAGTGCGAAAATGATATTCAAGCCGGAAAATGTATCGGAAAATCGACCGTAAATCGAATCGGAGTGGATCAGTGTAGAACCAGAACGGTCTGGCTAGCGATTCTCGTAGACGAATACGAGATCGAATTAGCCGGTTGGTTCGACGAATTCTAGAATATGAAGAATACGAAATAAACCCTAATAATGTTGATTCAAATCCAACACGAAGATTATATATATGTGTGTTTATATAATATATAAATATATATATATATACACAAGAACTGCAAATAGAAAGCCTTTTGAAGATCAAAACGAAATCGATCTAACAGCGACGAAAAGCTTCAAACATAAGAACAGATATTATCCCGAGAGAGAGAAAGAGAGAGAGAGATTGTGTTAGGAAGAGAGAGAGAGATGACCAAACCACTCTCTGAATAAATGGATGGGCAGGCGAAGAAGCAAACAATTTTTTAAAAACATTGATTCATTATTTTACGACAGTGAAAACAAAAATGGAAAATGTTATTTTATTACCAGCCCTAAATTAACACTCGTATTTGTAGAAAGTCAAATTTACCCACGCATGGAGTTTGTGATTTAAGAGAAGCGCGACTGTTGGGTATTCAAACCGGTTAAACGGTTAAGTTGTGAACCCGATTTCAATCCAACTTTCAAATTCATGTTTTTTTAACTTGGATTATCTATGAATTGGTTGAATCACTTGAATTAGGCGCGGATTAAACTTGAGTTAAGTTTTGTTTAGTTAGAGCAAGAGTATGTACGGGACTGAAATAAATTCTTTGTTGATTGATGGATCGGTTATTGCTAATAATTTAGAGTTGCAATCTACAATTAAAAATAAAATTTTTTAATCTAAACCTTTTATAATTTTTTGAAAATTGTTTTATATTTTTAGAATTACAAACCAAGTACGTCCTTATATATTGAGGATAAACTAATCCAATTTAGAATTGTTAATGTTTTTTAATCTCATCAAGACCTGTTATAAAAACTTCAAAACATCAGCACTCTATAATTTTCATGATTCTTTTATTAACTTATCTTAGTTACGCGCAATTATCATGAAAAGGACATTACCTCTAGTACGTCGAATGTCATTGCACAACTACTTTTTCTTATAACATTTACTAAATCAATAACGCGATTCGAGAATCTAAATAACTAATACGTAATAATAAAGAAAAAGTTGATATTGTCGTATATTTTTATTCAATTATCTTTTTATATCAATCTTTCTCGCTTGAATACTTTAATTATTAAAAGGTATGTAAATGGTGATCAAATAGATTAAATGGCTGACGATTAGTTCAATCTACTTTTAAATAATAAATTCATCCTTGCTACATTTTAAAAAGGTAGAGAATAACCACCTAAATTTCCACCTAAACTCCAAATAATCCGAACCATAGATAATATTTTCAATCTATATTCATAGTCTTAGCAATTAAAAAGAGTCGTTCAAATATGACTAGAGCTGGAATCAAAATTTTCAAGTCTTACCAATAAAAAAGAGTTGTTCAAATATGACTAAAAGTTGGAATTAAATTTAAATTTACATCCATGTTTTGGTATTTGTTAGGGGTAGTTTGGTAAATTGAGTGGGTGGGGGTTATCACCGACCACACTGATGAGTATCTGATTGCGTAGCTTTTGATTGGTGGTGAGTAGGGAGGGGGGAGTGAGAGATTAGGTGGGACACGTGCGGAGAAAGGGGGACACGTGTATGGTGGGATTGGGGAACGTGTGAGTGGGAGGAGCTTTCTTTTTCTTATCTACTGTAATAAATAGAGATAGTGTCTGACTCGAGGAGTTGCAATCAACGGCTGCGATCGCTTTGAGAAACGCGAGTAGCGGAAATCATGGTGTCACATCTTCACGTTCCATACTCGCTTGTTTTGCTCTACACATTCTTCTAGGAGCTTGTGCTTTCTTGTGAACTAAATTGAAATTAGGAATAATTTTTTTGTTTTTTTTTCGATTGATAATTAATTGCTTTCAATTGTCAATTGATTAAAGAAAGTAGTTTTACAGGCAAAAACACCATTTTAATATTTTTTAAGATAAATATTAAAGCTCCCCATAAGTTAAAGCGCCCAAATTATAGAAGAGGTCCACATTATCTCATTATATTAATTATATATTTTTTTTATTATGCTTTATTTATTATATTAATTATCAAATAAATACCATTACTCTTCTATTGATTAATACAATTTGGCAATTAAGGTGGCACTTAATACTTTAAGCCCCCAATGGGAGAGGTGACCCCATACAAGTTTTCTCATTATATTAATTATATATATATTTTTATTAATGTATTAATTATTCTTTGTTTATTGTATTAATTACCAAATAAGTTTAATAATTAATTTTAAAAATTAAAGGTATATTTATGTAAATTTAATGGAGATATGTCATCTAATTAATATAAATTTTTATAATTAATTTTAATAAAAAAAATAGATTAAGTGTAATTTAATATAAAAAATAATAATATTATGATCATTTAATGAAAAATAGTTCAGGAATTGAAATATTTTGCAACAAAATGTGATAATTTAAAAGTGTTATGCACAAAATGTTTACTTCAAGTTTTTTTTTCCAAATTTGGACATAGTTAAGATGTTTTTTAATCATCACCTTATGATATAATACCTAAAAAGATTAGCACAAATCTTATTTTTTAAATCTAATTTTACTGATTTTAACAAATTTCGTTACAGTGTTTGATATTGTTGACCATTAGTAGAAAAATGTCACTAGGAAGATCAGAAAAAAATGACAGTATATATCAAATAAAATTAGATAACATTTTCATTACCTTTTCTTTCTTTCTTTCTTTTCTAAATTTGGTTTGATGGGGAAAAAAAGAGATTTAAAATTTAATCAAAGTACAAAAACCCATACTTAAAAACTATGTAGACTCCTTAGTAATTATCGAGTTCACTTAGAATTGAGTCACTTTTATGGATAGAAATTTTTATAAGAATACCGTAAAAGATTTGCCTCTTCAAATCAGATATAGCAAAGCCACTCTCTCGAGTCTTGTATTGAGCACTCATGAGAGATTTACTTTTCGTTCTTAAATAGTATTAGCATGATTAGTATGTTAATTAAACATGCCACAACATGTTTAAAATTATAAATAATAATATTAAATAAGATGATGACATGACTCAATCTTAGTCACAGTAGAAAGAAAAAAAAGTTTAAAAAATTCGTTTACGTCATTGTTAGACACAAATTTAGAAAACAAGTTTGAATGGTAATTCATCAACAACCCATTCCATTCAAAATTCAACCAAATTAATTAAAAGTACATCAACAATTATTTTCCTACTAGATATATTTAAAAAAAATCAAAAGATACACGTCTAAATCGTTAAGTATTTGTCTACCTTTTGATTGTTTTTTTTTTAAACATCTTGAATTTATCATTAATCCATTGACTCCAATTTTCATAGTACTCCATTATTTTCATAGTGGGTGACTTGACCTCTTCTTATCTGTGTGAATAAAGTTTAAAAAGAAATTGTTTTCATTGGACAGATATGGATAAGACTAAAACCAGTCTAGCTGCGATCTCCGTCACAAGGATTCAAAGTTGTACTGTATTTGTTTATTACTATATTTTTAATTACAAAGCAAAAATAATGCAACCACAATGATTTGAAAATTTGAACCTCTCTTTGTTTACTTAGCACGTGGAAATCCGCACGTGCTTGATTAAAGTTCATTTCCTATAACTATTTTTTTAAAAAATTTTTACACGTACACATTTGCAATTGGTTAATAAATAAATAAATAATACAAAATTTTATTTTTATTTTTATTGAAATTTATGTTTGGTTGGAAGGGAACTTCCTAGTTGGTTATTTTTCTACAAATATGTGTCATTTATTTATTTCTCTTCTTTTTATTTATCTGTTTTTTCATTTCTTTAACCAAGCGAAGTCCGCTGTACTGTCAAGCTTACCTACTTTAGTGTCTTTCCATTTCGATTTATCAAAAAATTTATTAAAAAAGTAAGAAAATAAGTATGCGTCTTTCTATTTCCACTTATCAAAAAGCTTATTGAAAAAGTAAGAAAATATATTAAATGGTTGTTATATTCTTAGAGCATTAGCTCCCTTTTTGTCCCTTTCCACGATGTGCAACTTGAAGGGAGGAGAAACCAATGAAACGAAGAGGCGAAAAATAGATAAAGCAGACATATCTGGAGAAAAGTTTATTAAAAAAGTAAAGAAATATAGTGAATGGTTGTTGTATTCGTAGAGCATTTAGCTTTCTTTTTCTTATTCTTTTTCTCCACGCTTTTGCACCAATGGTGAGAATTGAGATCTCTTTACCTCCTCTATTTTCATCTCTTTGTAATTAATTAACTTTATATCTATATATATATATATATATATTTAATTATATATTATGATTCGCAGTTACAATATCAATTACGGTATTATACGAGGTCGCTTATCGGACTCAGACGAATATCGGTGTAAACCGATCGGTTCATGAAGGTATATAACGATATCGAATTCTTAAAAAAAGGTTACGAATTGAACGATACGTCACACATAGACCGATACAGCGAACTATATATATGTGTGTGTGTTTCATTCAATTTAATAGTGGTTAAAATTTTAATTGAATCCCAAATTGAGTAGGTGAGTCCCTCTTTCAAGTTGTTGGTGGATTGAAATGGAAAGCAAATGAATAAATTTTTGGAATTGCCACGTTCCAAACTCATTGGTCCTTATTTTATTTATATATGTCTGAATTTGATCAATTGGAAGACAGCCAATTGAAAAACAAGTTGGAATGTTGACATGTCTTGCTTTAAAAAATAAATAAATAAAAATAAAAATAAAATCTAATTTAATTGCTCATGAACTGTATATATCAAGGTGACAAGAGTTAATGGACTAGAATTGTCATCAAGGATGACATTATGATCTTGGAATGGTCCCTCATAAGGTTTTGGGTTTTAAATGGCAAACACAAACACATAGTGTCACCTAATTCCTAGGTTGATTTTCGTCTCAATTTTCAACATTTTAATTGGTCACATAATTGAATGTAAATAATAGATGGATGAAAATAATATAAACGGATGTGAAAGAAAACAAATCTTTATTAGGTAGAGGCAAAATAAGAAGAGAGAAAAGAATGAAGTTTAGCTAGATATGGTTTTTTTTTTTATTTTTTTTTATTTTTTTTTATGTATTGGGTTCAACCAACAAGCATTAAGTCTGGAGTTTAATTTAAATACATGATTAATCACATTGTGTAGAATAATATAAAAGATAATAGCTATCTACCTGTATTTCATTTGAAAAAAATCCGATGATTAAATTATTATTATTATTAAATTATGAGATATTTAGACATAAAATAGGAAGGGAAATGGAGGCAACAAAAGAGTTACAACGTGCCAATGTGATCACAATTGGATTCATAACATGTGAAAGAAGACAAATCTTTATTAGGTAGAGCTGAAATAAGAAGAGAAAGAAAAAAAAGGAGGATGAGCTAAATATGAGTATTTTTTGGATGTTGTGAAAATAATTTGATCAAGACAAGACTTATCTATTTATCGATGAATAAGTTATTCCTACTAATTACTGTTGTGGTCCACTCACACATAGTTTGCAATTACAAAATAAAAAAAAGAGATTAAATAAGGAAATTAGAGAGAATGACTGAATTTTGTTCTAAAAGTTAGTCCTTTATCTATCAATTTCTTGATTTTATAATTACAATCTATTTATGTATTTGTGATTGGATCACATTAGCTATCAGTACGAATAGCCTACTCTCCCGCGAGTAGATAAGTCTTATCCAAAGAGTATTGTAAAAAATCATAATTATCCACGTATGTCTCACTTGGCAATCCCTCACCCCCCCTCCGGCGCCCTTCCAGGGGACTTGAGCCTGATCCATTGCTGAAGACACTTCTCCAGGCTACAATTCAGAAGGCGGGGCTGCCTGATTTTCAAATTGGGCTCTTCCCAGTTCGCTTGCAGTTACTAAGGGAATCCTTGTAAGTTTCTTTTCCTTTGCTTATTGATAGGCTTAAACTATGTGGGTAGTCTCGCCTAACCTGGGGTCACGATCGAGGCACCGTCAGTGACAGTACGGTCGTAGTATGAATGGCCTATTCTCTCATAAATAGGCAAGTCTTAACTTAAGAGCATTATAAAAACTTAAAATATACGTCACATATTGGCCGATACGACGAACTAATATATATATATATGTTTCATTCATTTTAATAGTTGTTGAATTTTAATTGAATCCCAAGCTAAGTAGTTGAGTCCCTCTTTCAATTTGTTGGTGGATTGAAATGGAAAGCAAATGAATAAATTTTGGAATTGCCACATTCCAAACTCATTGTTCCTAATTTTATTTATATATGTCTGAATTTGATCAATTGGAAGACAACCAATTGAAAAACAAGTTGGAATGTTGACATGTCTTGCATTATAAAAAAAATCTAATTTAATTGCTCATGAACTGTATATATCAAGGTGACAAGAGTTAATGGACTAGAATTGTCATCAAGGATACATTATGATCATGAAATGGTCCCTCATAAGGTTTTGGGTTTTAAATGGCAAACACAAACATACAGTGTCACCTAATTCCTAGGTTGATTTTCGTCTCAATTGTCAACATTTTAATTGGTCACATAAATGAATGGAAATAATAGGTGGATGATAATAATACAAACAGATGGGAAAGAAGACAAATCTTTATCATGTAGGGCAAAATAAGAAGATAGAGAAAAGAATGAAGTTTAGCTAAATATGGGTATATGTTTTTTTATTTTATTTTTTGATGTATTGGTAATGATTAATGGACAAGCATTAAGTCTCGAGTTCAAGTACAAGATTAATCACATTATGTAAAATAATATAAAAGCTATAACTATCTATGTGTATTTCATTTGACAAATTCATGATTAAATTATTATTATTATTATTATTTTTAAATTATGAAATATTTATACATAAAAAAGAAAGGGAAATGAAGGCAATAAAAGAGTTACAACGTGCCAATGATCGTGGGAAAGAAGACAAATCTTTATTAGGTGGAGGTGAAATAATAAGAGATATAAAAGAATGAATATGAGTTAAATATGTGTGTGTGTGTGTTTTTTTTTTTTAGTGGTAAAAGTTAGATTCATAAAGTTGTGAGTTCAAGTTTGAGAGTAATCACTTGTGTAAAAATATATAAAAGATCATAATTATCTCCGTCTAACTCACTTTGCAAACCATATAACTAAATTACTGAGATTATGATATTTATATATGAAAGGGGAAGGGGAAGGGGAAGGGGAAGGGGAAGGGAGATAACAAAAAGGTTAAAAGGGTGTCAATGTTGTCACAAGAGGTGTCATAACAAGGGCAAGAAGACGAATCTTTATTAGGTAGAGGTGAGATAAGAAGAGAGAAAAAAAGAAAGATGAGCTAAGCATGAGTATTTTTTTTTATGCCGTGTAAATAATTTGATCGGACAAATATAAAGTCACGAGTTGCAATATAAGAGTAAGAACAAGACTTGTCTACTCATCGATGATTGAGTTATCCTTATCAATTAGTGTTGTGGTCCACTCATAAATGCATACATAGTTTACAATTACAAAATAAAAAAAAAATGATAAATAAAGAAATTAGAGAGAGTGGCTGAATTTTATTTTAAACAAAGTTATTGTCTTCCTCATTTCATAATCATCCTCGTGTTACTCACATGGCAATCCCTATAGCCAAATTACGAGATAATGATATATATATATATATATATATATATATATATATATAATAAGAAGGGAAAGCAAAGCAACAAATGAGGCACAACGTGTCAATGTGATCACAAGTGGTGTCATCTATGTGTAAAATATGTACAACCTCCAATTGCCTTGGTTTACAAATTAGGGTCATCAAAATTTATTATTCTGTCCTTTTTGCCCACCCCAAGTTGTTGAATAAATTTCAAGTGCTCAATGCCATGGCAAGCTGAGAGACCAATGCTGGAGCCTCAATTAAATAAAGAAGTGATTGGATTACTTAAATCAACCAACCAAACACCGAATATGTTGGCAATAATCAGAGCCTGAAAAATGTTGCTATTCATTCAATAATGTGACCCATGGAATTTTAAATGGGCACACGCAATAGATGCTCTTCCCATATGGTTGATGTGTGATGGACTTGAGGCCCATTAGTCAGGAGGGCCCACAAGAAGATGGTGGTGGTCTTTATTTTGGCTGAGCTATGAGGAGGGGTTGGTGGTTGGGACTGGAGGGTGATGATGCTCTCTCTTTTGGGTGTTACAGCAACTTCACAAACAAATTATATGGCATATCCAAAAGGATAATTCCATATCATATCAAAAAAGTGGACTCAGCAAGGAGGGACTTTTTTCAAGTTGTGAGTGTGACACCACCTTTGTAACTGTTCTACTACTTAGTGGTTGGCTATGACTAATGTCATTGACATTATTCGACATTATTTATTTGGGAGTTGAGCCCTCCATCATACCATATTGTCAGCTTTGCACACTTTCCTTCAGGTAATGTAAGAGCATATTGTCTGCGTTGCACACTCTCCTCTCGGTACTCACGGTTTTGTTCAAAACGCATCACACTAATAACTGTCGAGAACTTCTCGCCTCCAGGCGATGTGGGAAAGGTGTTTGCATTGGGCGAAGAATAGGGAACCAAACAGACCTAAAAGGCTCAAAAGTTGTGTAACCTTCCCACCAGTATATTTGTGCAGAAACTTGAATCAATATGCTTGTAATTAATGTCATCACAAGGCATGTTTTGATATCACCCAACAAAGCCCCTATCCAACATCATTCACCTGAGAACTACTAGAAGTCCAAAATTGAACCATGCATGATATGGTGATAAATATCAAATCAATCATCATATTCACCAACCTTGACCAAATATTATGTAGTTAGCAACCAACTACAGTAAGCCAATAGCAACTTCACAAAGGTTCTTAATATTATGCTTGTTACAGTCCTCCTCTGGACCTCTACTAATGCAGCACAAAATAATAATAATAAATAAATAATATACTTATCAGAAAAATAAATAAATAAATAAATACTTGAGTCATAAACTGAATGCTCTATTTAATATACCAAAAAGATGAATTCATTTGGACTTTTCCAATCCAAAGGTAAAAAAATTGAAAAATAAAATAAAATAAAATAAAAAGAGAACAGAAATACAACAAAAGATACAGACTAAACTGAATAGCTTAAAAAATTGTGCCTAATTTTATTGATGTGAAATTCCAGAGTTTCTACTTGGTGAAAAATTTTCTCATCCTCATAAATATGAAAAAGAAAATGCTGTCAGTTAGTGTCCAGCAGTTAGCTGATCCTTGTTTCTCAGAGGAATTAAAGGAGTTCCCTTATTGGATGGGATTTCTGATTGCTGTGAAATGGAGCCATTATTTTCTCCAGTGCCTTCCTTTTTCTGTTGAGGCTTGATACGGCCATCAGATTTAGGGTGGGCAGCCTGTGGATGCTTCTCATCTGGATGTAAAACCCGCAGCAAATTCCGATGTATCATCTCGTAGCTGGTAAATGTAATGACAGCAGATGGAGTTGTTCTCAATAAATTAGTTGCACAGCCACGGTAGAAACCAGGAAGACCTTCCTTTTGGAACACCTTCTTAATGCAATCAACAACACCTGCATACTGAACCCCAGAATTCCTGAATTGACCTTGCTCCTGCAGTCTGGAACGCACAACCTGGTTGATATGAAAATTTGGAACATTATAACAGAAACAAAACAAAATTTCATACCCAAAAACAACAAAATAATGTTAAAATAAAACTTGATGGATAGGGCTTTTGTTATGGTGTTAACAAACTGTGGAAGAAAATCAAGAGAATCACACCTCATGTGGGTAAGTCATTACAGAGGCAACTATTTTAGATATTGAAGAAGCAATTGCAAGTTTCCCAGGACTCAGCTCACTGGGGGTTGTATTATCTGGCAACATCAAACAAGCATTACTAGAATCAACTACACATGATATATGCATCTTAAATCGGTTTTCTGCTTGGAAAAAGAAAAAAAGAAGAAGAGAAAAACAAATTACCCATTTTTGCTAAGTATGACTTTAGCTTTTCATATGTTGGGAATTGGATGGCAACATGACTTATCCCAGCTAATGAAGGCAAAAGACCACTGCTTAAACCACAAAAATGGAATTATGACAACAAATTATACTGCATATAAAGATGGATCTAGGAAATTGAACGGTATAGTAACTATGCTTGCAAATTGTTCTAAGTTGATTAAGCTTTCGATATAATGGAATTCGGAGTTCATATCTAGTTCAATTGGGAAAGGAGAACAAGAAACTTCATTCTGCAAATCACTGGATGCTTTATGGCAGTATCATGAAGGCAGAAATCTCTAAATTTGCATTTTTGATATTTAGGTAAGAAGCACTGACCTGTACAAACCCCGCACTCCTTCTTCGTGAACAATCCTTCTCAATGCAGAAAGAACGCTATTGTAAGGAACCACACCTGGCCTCATGCCCTGTGTCTAAACAAGGAGAAAAATAAATGAATGTCCAAAAAGATTCTAAATGCTAATAGCAGAATTATAAAGAAGTGAAAAGGTCATTAAGTAGTCAATTAATAAGGTCCGCAAATCCACAAGAAAAAGGTCATTGAGGAATGATTATTATTGTCTATTAGTCCTTCACTCCTTAAGGTATGTAATCTTCTTTTCCTAAAAAGCCTTCAGTTTTGAAATTGTCGTCAAATTACCACCTAGAGCTTAGCTCTAACAGGTACTCCCCTGCTTATCAGGTGGAAGGATGACGCACCACCCCACAAAAAAAAAAAAAAAAAAAAAAAAAAAAATGTTAAAATAAAATAAAATAAATTTGGAAGTCAATTTGCACTACTAACTGCTCTCTACATACCCACAATTTTTAGGTGTGCCAGGAGGCTTAGTTGCATAGCTCAGAACCTGTGTTAGCTTGTTAAGTGTCCTACTATTAGGGAGTTTTTTTTTCTTCTGAACATCTCATTTTCCAGTTATGGACTCTCATTTGACCAAGTTATAAAAGGCCAAAGGCGCTAGAGGTTCTCTGGAGCCTAGGCGCAAAGCGCAAGGCGAGGCACGTGTCTGAGTGAAGGCAAGGCGCACGCCTGAGTGAAGTGAGGTGCACATTGAAAAAGTTTAAATTACTATTGAAGCATACATATTCCACATTAAAGGCGCACTTAGGCACACAACAGGCGCAAGTCTTGCACCTGTATGAGCCTGGAGCCTAGGCATGCGTCTAGGCGCGACTTTGGCAACACTTTAGGTACTTCCAACAATGACGAAAAAATTTTGAAGCCACAGGAGAACATTTTACAAATATATTAGTTACTGCTATGGAATTCTGTAATACATAAATTACATACATATATTTAACATGAAGATTTGTTTACAGAGAGTTTATATCGACAGCTACAAGAAAACATAATTTTTTTTTTCATGAATCAAGTATACAACCATCAAACTTAAGAAGCTACAAAAAAAAAAAAGAACCCCAAACCTACTTGAAGTCTGGTCTTAACAACCCACAATGGATTTGTAGCAATGGCCGTGGCTGCCCCAGCGCCTGAAGCAGCTATCATATTTGCACCAAATGTAAGTTGACCACTGCTGTCCACTACATCAACACAATATGACCGTCAGAAGAAACAAAAGCAACCAACTCAACAACTGTCAACAATCTAAATAACTTATAGATAACCAAAGGAAACAAAAAGGATACTGTGTCTCATAGAACTCAATAACAGAAATACACATACTGACAAATGAACAACATTTTTTTTTTGGAAGGTTAAGCAAACACACACACACACTTATGCCTCCACAGAGGCTTGAACACCCGACCTCCCCTTTAAGCATATAACATAGCAAATAACCACTTCACAAAAAAATTAAAAAAATTAAAAAAAAAAAAAATAATAATAATAATAATAACCAACCGTGAGAACGAAGTAGGCATTTAAGATGTCCATAGACCGTGAAGTATACCTACATATAAATGAAAATTTCCGTCACTTGGAGAAAGAAAACTTAAGAGGGAATTTACTATGTGTTCACTGAAAGTGAATGAATGAAAGGATAAGGAAAATATTTCCCAATAAATATAATTAGAATATTTACATAGATTTTATTTCCAAGAAACATGTAAAAGAATTTAAGAAATACAAGCAAATTGCAGATTAGCTAAAAAATTTATTGGAATAAATTAGCTTTGGCATGCTTTGAGTAGGGGAGAAGGGACAGTGTTCCCATAAAATTTTCAAACATGATAACCTAAGTGGTAGCTTCTAGTATGGTATTTTCATTATATGATAAATACATAAATATTATTTTCCCATCATTACGTAATGAAATAAAAATTTAAAAACTCTTTCCCCCAAGAAAAAAGTTCACAGAATTATAAATTGTTGACGAAACTAGTGCATGGTCCTCTGTAAGCTAAAAAGAATTGGCTATATACATATAAGGAACTTCCAAAATGAGTTGATTGTGGTGGCAGCTTTTAATTAACAATAGTTCTAGTCATCTCTAATGATAATAGAAACAAAAAACCTGAAAGCTTTTCTCTCTCCCTAAAGACATAATTAATAAGGGAATCAGACCAATCATTTCACCACTAAATGAATTACCCTTTAAACAGAAGAAAGAAAAAAGTGTTTGTCAGACTAAGAGAGAGGAGGGAGAGGGGAACACATCCTGACTCCTTCTCTTAAAACATAAAACTCCTCACAGCAGTGTGCTTAACCATAGTAATTGTAACATAAGCACATACAAGCAATGCTTAGAAGAGAAAACCAGGGGAAAAATTATATGAGAAAATCAGAAAAGGATTCAGAGTCTCACTGCCCAATTTGGAAGTAGTGCCACTAATGTTGGTGAAAGGCCACGGTACATTCCCTTCAAACCCTCATTTCGTATTATGTTCTGTAAGCTTGTAACAATGATACTACCTGATTATTGCCAAAAAAATGGACATAAAACACGTCACATTAATATAAGCTGAAAATAGGTAAAGTACAAATGAACACATGGAGGGATGGAACCAAAAATCTCAACCAAGTTTTCAATTTTAGAAGATTCCACACTTGTGGGGAGTTCTGGATTTTCTTTTAGTTTGTAGATGTATCCCTTTTTTTTTCATTATTTTTTTTTTGTACATTCAGCACAAATGGCTCTTACTTGAGCCTCTGTTTTTAATAAATTATTAGTTATCTACCAAGAAAAAGGTTAAGTTTCCACTTCTGAACTAAATAAGACAAGAGGAAAAAGGTAATGAACTCTTAAACCAAGTTGTTTGATGGAGTAGGATGCTGCTATATAAACAGAAAAATTAGATTTGCATTAACTCCCAATGTTCAAAAATGGCAAGTCTGGCAAAAGAGGTGAAAACTTATTAACTTTGACATCATATCCTGTGCAAGATGGTAGGTAGGGAAACCTCAAATCATACAAGTACATGATTAAAAAATCTGAGTCAGAGAAGTAAAATATTATGGAGAATAAAAAAAGCAAATAAGCGAAGAATAATAGAGTAGGAAAATCTCTCAGAATAAGCACATGTTTGTTAGATAAATCAGTATTATGATGAGCAGGCACCAAGGACAGGAAGAAGATAATAACCCCATAAAAGTATAAGTCAGGTAGGCTGTAAGTTATGAATAATTACTGCCACTCTGCACAAACCACTTAAAACTTTCTAATACCCTAAAACTCATAAAGAAAAATCCACATTGTGCTACAAATTTACAGCAACAAAAGCCTTAATTGCTACTAAAAATATATATAGATATATATATATATATATCTTACGCGAGATGGTAGGTAGGAAACCACAATTCATACAAGCGGACGATTAAAAAATCTCGAGTCCGAGAAAAAAAAGTATTATGGAGAATAAAAAAGCAAATAAAGATCAATAGAGTAGGAAAATCTCTCAGAATAAGCACATGTTTGTTAGATTAATCAGTATTATGATGAGCAGGCACCAAGGACAGGAAGAAGATAATAACCCCATAAAAGTATAGGTGAGGTAGGCTGCAAGTTACGTATAATTATTGCCTCTCTGCACAACCCACTTAAAACTTGCTATACCCTAAAACTCATAAAAAAAAAAATCCACACTGTGCTACAAATTTACAGCAACAAAAGCCCCGGTTACTAATATTTTTTTTTTTTAAAAAAAAAAAAAGTTAATTATTTATGCTTCAAGAAAAAGAAAAAAAAAAAACAAGTGTGATAAAGTAAAGAAAAGAAATGCTCAAGCTGGATAATCCAAATATTCCAAAAGAAAGGTAGGCATGCATCCACGTAAATGCTACAATAAGCCATTTGTAGAAGTAGTATTTTTCCTTTTTTCCCTTTCAAAAAACTTTCAAGACTTGCATGGCACAATGAATGAAAATTGTAGGGGAAGAAATACCATTAAATCGAGCTCCCATTTCAAGTTACTTTTTTCTTCCAAAACCCACATGTTGCATTTTTCTTCCAAAACCCACATGTTGCATTTTTCTTCATACAGTTTAGAAGCGATGAAGGAATGACTAGGAAAAGAAAGTGTATGAAAATGCCATGGAGCAACAAGATGATTTAGATCAGAACAAATTTTTTTTTTTCCCTTTTGGGCCAAAAAAGAACAAGAACAACACTGATGACTATATCATCTATACGTCACACGTGACAAGGAAAGCATCGGAACTCTTGAAAAAATGTAAAGGGTACCGGTCATTTTTTAAACATTCTTCCTTTATTTTATAGGATAAAATAGTGATTTTATGTAACATAAAGTGCTCAACATTGATATTTTTAACTCATTTTAAAAATAATAATGTAACAAAAGGAACATTACAAAAGAATTTACAATTATATAATAAGTCAACTGCCAGTCGAGATTCTTGGTCATCTTACTAACCGCTTTCAATAGAGTACCTACGACTCAGCACACCGATACAGGCCATTTTGAATTATTGGATATGATTACTAGGTTAACATCTAGCAAACACACACACACACACACATCCCATACTCATACACATACTCAAGAGTCTTGTGTCAGGCATGGGTATTCTAAGCATTTAGAAAAGTAGATATAACATAGGCATACAACAACAAACAATTAATTACCGGTTTCTACCAAATGCGTCTTAGTCTTTGAGCTTGATGGAGACTTTTCTATTAGAACTAAAAAAATTCCACAATGGTGCCAGAAATTTTTTACTCATCCTTATAATTTTGAAGACATGCATTGATGATATACCCAACTTTTTTCTTATACCAAATTGAGATATACTAATTTCAGAGTTATTAAATTAAGGTCACTTTATGAGTAGCTTTTCATCTTTTTTTTTTTTAAAAAAATAAAAAAATAAATAATAATAAAGTATAATTTGAAGAAAACTTTATTTCAATAATCAGGGTTCCCTTTTCTGTATTATCCAAATGGCAAAAATAGCCTTGACCTTATAATACATACTTTTCAGAAGTGTAAAATAAGGGTGCTTAGCAGAACTAGTAGACTGAACAATATCATAATGGTGATTAAGACTTAAAGCAAGACTTTCGCCACCTAAGGTTCCAAGTTTCATTGTTCCTATACCAATAAGTTCATCAAACCAGTTTTACAGCTTCAGTTCTGGTGCTGTACTTGGTCCTCCCATTTTAATTGTATGAACAAAACATTGCAAATTCAGTTTAGCAATCACCGTTAGATCAATATTTTATACGCGCTAGTTAATAATCTTCTTCATAAATGTACTTATAAAAAAAACATGATCTTCTTCATAAATGTCAAATGTGCATTCCAATTGTCACAAGATAAGCCCAATAACCTCAAAGTATAAATAACATAGTTTATCCAACAATGCAGTGTGTACCATACCTCTCTGACCAGAAGGAGACACTTCCGGCAGGCCATGAACCTGCAGTCGTGTCTTGATCACATCCAACGGGCACACAACAGTGGCAGCTATAGCACCTGCACAACACATAAAAAGTGACATATTTTCAATAAAAAAGCTCAATTCCCAAAATGAAACTGACAACGAATCTTATTTATGAACCATCATAAGATCAATAGCACCTTCAATTCAATATGCAATAGATATCAATAAATAAAAAAGCATGCAATGGACAAAGTTGAATACAAACCCTAGCCAAAATCACAAAAATCGCAAAATTGAACGAAAAGCTAGGGCTTATGGGGAAAAAAAAAAAAGAAAAAAAAAAAAAAAAAACGGAAGAAGAAGAAGAAAGAGCTAACCTGCAGCAGCACCGGCGCCGGCGTCGCATAAGATATGACTGGCGCTCCGACGATCGGCGCTCATCTCGAAGGCTCTACAAATTAAACAGTGGGAATGTCCAAATGGAATAGAACTGCAATTCGTCGAATTCGTTCGAAGAACAGAATGGAATCGTAGCAGTTTCGCATCGCAGATTTATAAACCTAGCGTTCAAAGAGATTATAGAGAGAGAGAGCAGTCTTAGGGCGTGTTGGACCCTCGTTCAAAGGTATAGAGAGAGAGAACGCTGCGAAATGGAGGACTGGAGATTTGCGCGTGGGACGGAGTCATTTCTATTTTCTCATCTGTGTGAAAATTTGTTCAGTGCCTGTTTGGATCGATGGAAAGGAGTGGGAAATTTTTTTTTTGGTTGTCTAAAGGACTTCACTCCTCGTGTCCTAATCAATTCCACTTACCGAAATTGTAGCATTAGATTCCTTTTATGTATTGTCTGATACAATTGGTCTTGAGATATTATCGCGTCTAATTAGATCCATAATTATTTTGTTAATTAAGACAAAACAATGGTAGGTCACATTTTAATTGTGATTTGAGAGCAATTATATGTGAACTAGATTCACTTTTCAATGCACACATACTTTGTGATTAATTGATATTAATTGCGGAGTCGGACTTGTATTAATGTAGCGTTAGTTGCGATCACGGTATTACCGAATTAAACTCGTATTAACAAGAGATTATTAGATGGTTAAGAATCTTTTAACCCGTGGTAGACTAGTTTAATTTAAGCTGTAAGAGTCTGAATTGAATAAGCCCACTAAGTGTCAATGTATCACAATCATTCTAATAATTTCTCTGTATTAACGTAATATAATGAAATCAATTATCATCATGATTTTTCGAACCTATTGATTTGCAACAGAATTTGAACTCACCGATATATGTTTGGTTTGAATGTTAATCTGAAACTCGCTAATAATCAATTTTGAGTGTGAATTAAGGAACTCATTATTGGGAACCTACGGATTTAGAGAACATGATTGGAATTAATTTAGCACTAAATTTCATCTGTTGTGCTAAAAATTCCTAACTTGTGCTCTGGAGAGATTGATGCACCAAAGAATTGATGAACTTCTGTTAACTAAAAGGATGCTTTGTGAGTGACATGGAATTGATTACCGTTAAATGGTAGCAAAATTAGGGAACATCAAAACTAATACTTGTTGGATTGATAAACGACAAAAAAATTATTTCAAATGGTTTAATGAGCTGAGTTTACTTCAATGTTTGTCAGATATAATGGGGTGATGAACAAAAATTATACAACGACTAATATCCTAAGATCAACGTGCATGTTAGCATGGAAGGAGAAAAATGACAACAATTATGCTAACGTGCATGTTAGCATTTAGAGTACATTTGTTTGAGGGGATTTTCTGTGTTTTTCAATGTTTAGTAGTTTCAAATTTAAAAAAAATTCTTTTACGAAAGAAAATATTTTCTTAAAATTTAACCAAAATAACTTATCAATTAATCCTTCGAAAATTATTTCCCAACCCTAAAATTTAACCAAAGTAACTTACTAATTAATCCTCTGAAAATTATTTCCTGAACCCATCAATTTCATTCTTGGTCTCCTCAACAAAAACATATAGCATCAATCGTGAAAGAGTTACTCATTCACCAAAAAACAGATGAGAGAGAGAGAGTCCAGAGAGAAATAGGTTTTACATGTGGGAGGAAACAAAACAAGATATGTACAAATGAACTTTTTTTTTTTTTCCCTCACCCACTCATTTCTTTTTACACACTTAACCCAAGTCCTTTACCTCTGTTATTTTATATTTTCTACCCACTCAAAATAATTTTCTTATTTTACTAAATTCCTCAATTATCTAAACTTCCATATTTCACGACCATTACTAATAATAGAACAAATTCATTTTTTTGTTTCAGTCCTCAATATTTAAAACTATAAAAATTTATCATAACTACGTTGTTGACAACTCCATCTTTTCATTAACTTGGAACTTTATCAACTGCATCTCTGATTTTAACCATGTCCTTCACATACCTTAGGGTCATAAGGATCTTTTATGTCGTATGCAACCGATGATTCGTAAGGCTTTCTAAACTAGGTATCATAATGTTTAACTATGGTGCACAATTAACATTTTTAAATAAAACATATCCGAGATAAATGAATCACCTATATATCACACATATTACACCTTTTGACCCTTTCCAGAAAAATAGCAAAGTCTAATAAAATTTCATACTTCGTACCACTTCTTTCTAAAATTAAAAGTCTAATGAGATGCATTTACACAGGCTTCGTAGATTTTGCCACACGTTCAGCAGCTGTGGCAGTTCGCATTGAACCCACTGCCACTGCAGCGAAGTTGACGGATTTCTCCTGTGCAATGAAAGAAAACAAACAATTTCCAAACATGTTCATTCTGGTTTCTATTGTGGCAAAGAAAAATTGTTATTAACCCAACAACCCCTATGCACTGCCTATTGAACCGTACCTGCAAATTTTTTACTTCAAGATCGTGATTCTATTTCGCTTTGGTGCTGGTAATACAACATGCCAATCATACACAATGTTGCCTTTGCCATGTCTTTGAGTGTCAAAGACTTAACACCAGCTTCAAAAACTAATCAACTCAAACAAAAACAAAAAAAAAACTTTAAATTTGTTGATAACATAAAGCACGAAATAAAGATACAAAAACCAATAAAATGCTTACATTGCCTTGTGAACATCTTGTTTCAGCTTAGGAAACCTTTATTTCAAAAGAAAGCTTTGTCAGAAACAAAGTTGACGTGTAACTTGAATTATACGGGCTAGTTTGGTGTGGTGGAATGAAATAAATGAAAGTGGAATGGAATGGTTTTTTTTCCATTCTGGTGTTTGGTGCCAATTTAAAAATTGAAATCATCATTCTCCACTGTTCTTGGAGAATGGTCATTCCATTAAAATCATTCCACATTCTAACAAAAGGAATGACATTTCATTCCCACCTCCATTCTCATTCCATTCCAACTCATTCCACCACACCAAACTAGCCCTAAGAGTATCTTATAAACGACTACCAAAATTATTTATTACCATCAGAATCTATTAAGAGCAAAAAAAAAACATGATATGTACAAATGAACTTTTTTTTCCCACCCACTCATTTCTTTTTACACACTTAACCCAAGTCCTTTACCTCTGTTATTTTATATTTTCTACCCACTCAAAATATTTTTCTATTTTACTAAATTCCTCAATTATCTAAACTTTCATATTTCATGACCATTACTATTACTAGAACAAATTTATTTTTTTGTTTCGTCCTCAATATTTAAAACTATAAAAATTTATCATAACCATGTTGTTGACAACTCTATCTTTTCTTTAACTTGGAACTTTATCAACTACATCTCTGATTTTAACCATCTCCTTCACATACCTTAGGGTCACTAAGGATCTTTTATGTCATATGCAGCAGATGATTCATAAGGGTTTCTAAACTAGGTATCATAATGTTTAACTACGGTGCACAATTAACATTTTCAAATAAAACATATCCGAGATAAATGAATCACCTATATATCACACATATTACACCTTTTGACCCTTTCCAGAAAAATAGCCACTCAATAGCATTCAAAATTAAAAGTCTAATAAAATTTCATACTTTGTACCACTTCTTTCTAAAATTAAAAGTCTAATAAAATTAAGAGTCTAATGAGATGCATTTACACAGGCTTTGTAGATTTTGCCAGGTGTTCAGCAGCGCGGTCACCGCACATGTTCATTCTGGTTTCTATTGTGGGAAAGAAAAATTGTTATTAATCCAACAACCCCTATGCACAGCCTATTGAACCGTACCTGCAACTCTTTTACTTCAAGATCGTGATTGTATTTGCTTTGGTGCGGCGATGGTAATACAACATGCCAATCATACACCCTGTTGCCTTTGCCACGTCTTGAGTGTCAAAGACTTAACACCAGCTTCAAAAACTAATCAACTCAAACAAAAACAAAAAAACTTTAAATTTGTTGAAAACATAAAACACGAAATAAATATACATATATCAATAAAGTGCTTACATTGCCTTGTGAACATCTTGTTTCAGCTTAGGAAACCTTTATTTCAAAAGAAAGCTTTGTCAGAAACAAAGTTGATGGGTAACTTGAATTATAAGAGTATCTTATAGACGACTATCAAAATTATTTATTACCTATCAGAATCTATTAAGAGCAAAAAAAAAAAAACATGATATGTACAAATGAACTTTTTTTCCTCACCCACTGATTTCTTTTTACACACTTAACCCAAGTCCTTTACCTCTGTTATTTTATATTTTCTAGGGTTAAGTGCAAAAAACTCCCTTCTACTATCGATATAGTGCATATCAGTCCCTGTGTGGTAAAAAAACCCCCTATACTATCAATTTGGAGCAAATAGGTCCCTGGGTGGTGTAAAATGATGATAATACCTTCACTTCAATTGAATAAATTAATGATTATAAATACCGGCCGTGTAAAATGACCCTTTTGTCCAAATTTGTGTACAATTGTGTTTAGCTTCCTAATATATATATATATATATATATATATCTCACTGCACATTCAACTACCCCCTCTTTGTTAGAGAAAAGAAAGAGGAAGATCTATATAAGGAAATCAAGATTAGAAGATTGAAAAGCCCATATATCCCGCACAAAGAATGCAACCACTCGAACACTTCCTTCAGAAAGATTGGGAGGAATTTAGGAAAGAGCAAACGCAGGACCAAACTAACGAGCTGGGTCTGCCGCTACCGCTTGAAAGCTGTCCGATTCCGTTACTGGGACAGGGGTCAGGGATGCCTCACGGTTGTGATAAAAAATGAATAGGATTTCCCAGCATTGATTTCCCAACATGGAATACGGGTCTGATCTTCCGGCATCCGCTCTGGCTCATTCTCAAAATATGTTGACAATCTCTCTCAAAAACTAGGTAACAAGATGAGTGCTCTCCTTCTATAAGGATTGGTTCGTATCGACCTTCCCTGGCTTATATATATATATATATATATATATATCAACTACAGAGCATTCAACTTACAATCAATGGCAACTACACCATCTGGACGAGTAAGAAGGAAATCTCGTGATCTCCATTGGTTGTGTTATACAATTCTAGCCATATAATTGTTTGTGCCTTACATCAAACTGTGTTGGACACTTCACATGAATTTTCTAAATAATTTTTAATATAATATTTGTAATTATTATTTATTCCAATTATCATGGATTATGCCAGAACCCGGATCTGTTGAATTTTTATACATTCCCTTCATGTTTCAGATGGGAATTCTGTATATATCTTTATATCTTATAGCATTAGGTACTGGTGGTCTAAAATCAAGTGTTTCAGGTTTCAGAATTGACCAGTTTGATGATGGCATGTTTTGGAGTAA